TAAAATACTGCATGTTCTCACTCACCAGTGGGAGCTAAACACTGAGTACATATGGACACAAAGAAGAGGACAACACAAATATGGGACCTACTTGAGGGTAGATGGTAGGAGGAAGCCCCTCTAAGAGGCCCCTATCACATAAAACTTCCTGTCTCCAGTGTACCAATTTGTGTAGTCAGCAGGCAGTTTCACTGTTGCACATTCCTACTTATCTACTTTTGCAGGAGCACCATGACTTGACATACAAGAACAGTTTTATGGTCCCGGACCAAAGCCTTTCCCCTAGTGTGTGCAGCCAGCATTGTTGCACACTGCAAGAGTAACCACGGGGCCCCTTTGGGGTCAGGCCTGCTCACGGACTAGACAGTCTTGGGATTATTCTCCCAGTAGGGGAGACAACAGGATTAGGATTTTGCCAAACACTTCAGGTTAAAGACCAAAAGTTAACCAAGGAAGTTTTTCATGAACCTCAGGAAGAGATAAATATCCAATTCTCTGTTATTTCAAAGCAACCAATGTGTACTGCTTTTATTAAAAGCAAATTAAGTGCTTATCAATCTGTCTCCTGCTACATGACAGGTCACTTGAGAAGAGGAAACATGTCCTATGGGTCCCAACAGAGTGCCTGGCCTGTACCTAATGATAATTCATAGCTTGCTGATTTTGGAAATTGACAAGGAGCTTAGAGCAATGAAGGCTGCCTTGTTGCCTTAACCATGCTAACAATATGTTTGGATCACAGGTTCCTTAAACCTTTTTGGTTTTCCCAGAACCACGGGAATGGCACAACTGTTAGAACTTGTTTTTCCCCTCAATTTATAATCCTAAATTTCAGTTACATCTAGAAAACATCTTCACCTCTTCTCATTTCCTTTATAGGCATGGACTTTTCAAGTCCCAAGATACTTCAGACAGTCTAAAAACAACTTGCTTTCCAGGCACCTGAGGACTTCTCCAACAGACATTATAGGATCTATGAAATATCTTGAGCCTAGTTCAGTGATGTAAATGTTTCCTACAATTTATATAGACAACTCCAAGTGAATGAATGTTTGACATGTAAAATAATGAAAGCACAGAAATTCGGTTAGAACTGGAACACGTGGGAGTCAGCCAGAAAAGTAAATCAGGGTAGCCCAAAGATAGCCATCAAGACCCCTGAGGTGGTATGAAGATTACCAGGACTTTCAGAGCAGAGAAGTTCCTAGTAGCTGAGCATTTTCTCAGTGGATACGATTGGTGCAAGTTTGCAAACATGAGTAGTCTCAAAAGCAAACATCAGACACTCTCTGTAGAGGTCAATGCACTTTGACCTACATCCTTTCTGGTATTGCATGGATTATCAAGGTACATATGGGGAAACCAAAGCATAGAAGAATAAAGTTCTAGACTCAGAGTCTCATAGAAAGATAGGTATTGATTAGGAATGAGTCCCTGATCCAAAGCATTTGGACCTGAAAGGGATCCAGGGATCATTTGGAAAAGTATCTATCAAACTTTAATGTACCAGCAAATCATCTGGCCATGCTAAAAGGCAAGTTCTCATTCAGGAGATCTGTGGAGGGGCCTGATGTTCTGCATTTCTAGGCTTTTAGTAGATGATGATGCCACTGTAACAGACCATATCCTGAGTGGCAAAAATCTAGTCTAGTGGTTTTAAACCACGCACAAAAAAATCACTTTGGGATTACTTTTTTCAGAAAACTTACTGATAATACTCATACCTGGGCTTCACTTCCAGAGATTCTGATTGATTGGGCTGGAGACTGGCTCAGGCATCTGCATTTTTAAAAGATTTCCAAGGAATTTTCTAGTTTGCAGCAAAGGTTGTAAAACACTGTTCAAGGCCAACCTTTTTCTATACCTGAGGAGGAAACTCAGTGTTTAAGTGAAATCAAATTCACTCAGCTAGTTAGTCGAACACAGAACTGGTCCTGGAATGTTGATAGTGGTTAAGTTTTATTTCTTCCAATGCTTAAGTTTCACTTCTACAAGTAGGCATCCTGCCCATGAGAAATGAGTTTCCCGCTCTAGTTTCTATTGTTTTTTCCTATTTGTAGTCTCTCTCTCTCTCTTACACAATGTGTTGGCTGTTTCCTTATTGTTGCTCTGTCCTGTGTGGTTCATGGCTGTGTTTATCCAAGGACACACTGGGCCAGATCCTGAATAGCTAATCAGTTGAGCCAGAGCCTCACAGAACCAGGACTGCTGCCAAATTCAGTGACCACATGACACACACTCACTCTGTTTCTCTGACACGCTGTTACTAAGCAATAATTTTATGCATGAAAATTCCAAAGTCATACTACTCTCAGTGGAAGCAGCTCTCCTAATGTTCATTTCAGTATTTGCTTATGTTTCTATCCCTTTTAGAGTTGAGTCAGGGCTAGTGCCCTACAGAAGATATTTGTATCTAAAAACACGATTGGCCTCCTAGAAGCTTCCCATATGATACAGAACTGGAGAGAGAGAGAGAGAGCTGAGAGGAAATGAGTCCCATTCCAAAATCTATTCTCCCCCTACACAGGTCCATCCTCACTAGGGAGGGGTTGAATACCTGCTGCCCAAGAGGTACTGCTGGGCTCTATGTGTAGATATGGCCAGGGTTCCCTGACCTGAGCCTGAGATGGGACTATCTAGATTGTCCTGGCCTGAAGCTCAGAACAGGACACTCCTATCTCAGCAGCTGCACAGTCAGACACGACATGAGACATCTCTCTTTCAGTGCCCATTGGGAAAAACTGTAGTGGGGGAAGGGCTCCAGCTGATGGTCAGCACAGACTGCACAGATAAAGGGACTTATCCCACACTGTGAAAGCAACACTCATAGTTACTAAATGCTGTTAAATGAGACATGCTTTCCATGCAATATCCCACTTCATCTCAACATAACCCCACGACAAAAGTCCTAGTGCTGTTCTGATTATATGGGTAAGTAAATGTGGCTTAGAAATGTGAACCAACTATCCCAAGATCACACATCCAGTAAGCAGCAAAGTCCGTTAATGATCCCAGGCAGTCTGATTCCAGGTGGCCTTCACTACTGAGCAACACCATCTTGTGTGCACAAGGACAAGTAAAGGTAAAGGGTTTTAATATTTCTCATTATGCTCAAGCTGCAGAGCAAGAAACGAAACCTCAGAAGAAAACATCCCATTGGCCCCAAGTATAGAACAATGGTTGTTCTATGATGGCGCGCTACTGTCTTGTACTCAGAGCACACAGTCCCAAAATAAACAAGATGGCAAATATCTGCGAGAAACTCCCTCCATCTGGTGATTCTGTCACCTGAAAGGTGTAGAACGTAATGCCCTAGGTTTGCTGAACCCCAGATGAAACAATATTTGACTAACAATCATTCTTGCCTTCCAGCAAACTTGGTCTTCCACAGCAGGGCTATGTGGGCCTAGTTTCTTTTACCTCGTTCCCCTGAGTGGTTCTAACCTCCATTTCTGTGCTGTCATTATGCTTAGAGAAATTTTCTTCCTACTTTTCTTACTAGAGTATACTCAAAGAATAAAATGGGAGTTCTAACTATTTAAGTAATGTTGAGATTTGGTGGGTTTATGGAAGAATACATGGATCTAAACGATATCCTGTGCTTGTAAGATGTCAAGACGGGCCAGGTGCAGTGGCTCACACCTGTAATCCCAGCACTTTGGGAGGCCAACACAGGTGCGTCACCTGAGGTCAGGAGTTCTAAACCAGGATGGACAACATGGTGAAACCCCGTCTCTACTAAAAATACAAAAAATTAGCTGGGTGTGGTGGTGCATGCCTGTAATGCCAGCTACTCTGGAGGCTGAGGCACAAGAATCGCTTGAACCTGGGAGGCAGAGGTTGCAGTGAGCAGAGATAGCGCCACTGTACTCCAGCCTGGGTGATACAGCGAGACTCCATCTTTAAAAAAAAAAAAAAAAAAAAAGATGTCAAGAGGTCCAGCACATTCTTCTAAGAACTTGTCTCATGTGAATGGGGAGATGTGGTCTATCTCTCAAGTTGCCTAAATCCTTACTTGAATAGACATGGAGAACGGTTTTTAATTCAGATAGACAGATTATATACTATACTCTTTCTTAAGCATATTATTTTCCTAAGATATCTGCTCTCATTTGAACAGTGAATGCATAAAATCTTATTTGATGCTCCTTTTCTGGGCAGTCCTTCTTGTCTATATAATTTTTGGCTTTATGAAGGTCAGGAGCAGTAACTGGAGCAGTAACTCAGAAGATGCTGGAGCAGTAACTCAGAAGTTCCCTGAAAAGAAAGAGAAGAGCTGCCCCAGACATCTGAGAGCTGGCCTGGTGTTCTGTGCATGTAAAAAATTTCAAAGAACATTATCAACATCAAACAAGGTCACCCTGTGACCATGATGGGTCAAGACAAAATACAAGGCCATTCTGTAATCATGTCTGAGTGCAGACAAAAATATGAATATTTTCCAACTGGATTCAAAAATAATCAAGCAGCCCCTTAAACTGGCCAATATGAGTGACTGCTGCTTCCTTTCAAATTACATCTGTAGCCTTGGTCTAGTCTTCTCTTTCTCCAGATACAATTTAAGATACCCAATTATAGAATAATTTCTGCTTCTTGACAGCCTCCCATCCCATGCCCATGACCACACCTTACCACATGGGATCCTGGGAAATATAGTCTAGTTACAGGCCCAGGACAAAGAAGAAACAGCACAGCCGGGCTACAGTTTCATTTGGCAATTATGAGAAGACAGTAATGAAGTTAATAACCCTACCTTGAAATATTCACTCAAAGGGAAATCGCTCTCAGTCTTTGCCCTTTTGCTTATCTTGGTGCACTACCCCTTACAAAACCAAGATCCAGAAACTTACAGGATGATGTTGTAACAATTCACAAGAGAAATTCAGAATAGCAGCTTTCAAAATTTTCCTTTTTCCCTGCTAATTGTGTAGGCAATTACATCAGCCTTGGTATCATATAAATTTTTCATTAAACATGTGAATATTGTTTGATTGACTCTCTGATGGTTGTTACTTTGTAACAGATAATCTTCAAAGCAGTAGAAACAGAAGAAACATAAGGACAACTCAGAAGAACTATGTGAATTTAGATTTAGATTTTTAACCCCCATGACCCAATCACATTCTCTGACTGCATTGCATATGTTTCTCTACTGACCAGCTAAAATATTGTTTAAACCACTGATGGTGAACAGTAAAGATCATCAAAACAGTCAATACACTTGAGTAGGCTCCACTATAGTCAGGGTTTGCAGTAATGCAAATGCTACTGGAGGATGTAACCAGTATGGGACCTTTCTTACAGACCAATATCTCAAAATTGAGAAGGGGTTGTTTTGCCTAACATAGCCCCACAGAAGAAGACCTAACCATCTGCAACCTCATTCTTCCACAAATTGACAATGACTTTCTACAGTATTCTTTTAAGCACAAACCACTGACTCTGGTCTAAGGAGCTTCCATTGTAGAAGTCCCTGGAACCACCTGGCTGGATACATGTGATAGTAACAAGTTTGACAACAGAGTCTGACATGATTCACAAAAGTATACGTTCCTGTCTGCCACTGGTTTTTCCACAACCCTGAATGTCATCATAAGGTCCAGTTATCCTCTATCTCCTACACCACATTGACCCCAGCAAGGGAATTTGCTTATCAAAACTGTTTCTCACACACACATCCTCTTAGCTGCCAAAACTCAGCATGTATTTTGTAATCAAAGCAGAGACACCCCTCTCTCTCTGTGTCATTTTCACCCTGCCAATTCACTGGACATCAAGGGTGTAAAAAACTGCCTGGATATACCTCCCATATATAAGCACCCAGCTTATCTGAGAAGCCCTAAAACTCTGTGGACAAACCTTAAAGGAGCCTCCAAGCCTGAACCAAAGCACTACTATCTTCACAGCATCATGAGGTAAAGGCTTTCTCTGCTTCACTGACCTTATTTCTGCACACTTTGAAATTCTAAAACTTTCCTTAAGGGCCAGTTTTTTGACAGGCCTTCTCCTAAGGGAGTTGTCCCACTGGTGGTTCTGACCCTGACCATGATAACTGAGAATAGTTTAATAAGGGGGCTATTTAAGACGATATGGGCAAAGTTTAGGGAAATCAACAGGAGATGGTGCTTGTTGGTTGCAGGAGAGAGGGAGGAGGCGTGTTGTTTTACAACAGTGGTAACATGATAATCCTGGGCCCACAGGAGCAAGAGGAGAGAACCAGACCCAAGGAGACTCTAAGCTATAGCTGTAGGGGAGGGGCTTCTCAAGAGGTCTTTGGTGAAAATATCACTGACAACCTCAAGCAGAGCACAGTGGGAGCTTAAGAATTAATACCATGGGCCGGGCGCGGTGGCTCAAGCCTGTAATCCCAGCACTTTGGGAGGCCGAGACGGGCGGATCACGAGGTCAGGAGATCGAGACCATCCTGGCAAACACGGTGAAACCCCGTCTCTACTAAAAATACAAAAAATTAGCCGGGCGAGGTGGCGGGCGCCTGTAGTCCCAGCTACTCGGGAGGCTGAGGCAGGAGAATGGCGTAAACCCGGGAGGCGGAGCTTGCAGTGAGCTGAGATCCGGCCACTGCACTCCAGCCTGGGAGACAGAGCGAGACTCCGTCTCAAAAAAAAAAAAAAAAAAAAAAAAAGAATTAATACCATGACCTTCACCTCCTCCCGCAATTGAATATCTGGCTGGTGCTCCCCAGTGGGTCAACCCCAGAAGAAAGTAAAAAATAAAAGAGTTTTGGAGTTAATAAAGTCCAGAGTCAGCTTCCCAAGCACAGAGCATGGCGAAGAATGTAGGAAAGTAGATCCAGAGGGGCAAGATGAGAATATACGTACAGAGGCAAGTTTCCTAACTCCTGTTACAGAGCTCGCTTAGTAAGGGCAACTGACTTAATAAGAGCAGCAATGCTCTTAAGGAAATGAACAAGAAAGAGTTTGGATATCTTATTTCCAAAGATGTCATTTCTGTAGCACTTTCTAAGAGAGGGACAATTACCCAGGCAACACTTAAAGACTGTTCACCAGGGAACAGAGGCCTGAGTCTAGAGAGGAGACTGGCATGGGGACCAGTCAGGGCAAGAGCATTGAGATCCTTTTAGGCATCCAGGTGAGAAGAAGCAGCTATTTTTCTTTTTATTTGATAATTTGGTTAAATTCAGGTGGGAAAAAGAAGCTACTTTCAGAGATGGCTGTTTTTCTGTTGTTTGTTTTTGAACCAAGTCAAATTTTGTGATTACTGTGAAACTATGAAACTGTGATTACTATGAAATTTACTTTTCACTGAATTAACTGTTCTCAAAGTGTGGTCCCCTGACTAGCAGCATCAGCATCACTTGGGAAGGTAGTAGAAATGCAAATTCTCAGGCCCTACCCTAAACTTGCTGACTCAAAAACTCTAGGGTGGGGCCCATCAATCTGTGTGTTCTAAGTTTTCCAGGTGATCATGTTGCCTGCTAAAATTTGAAAAACCACTGTACTAGGTGTTAGAAAATAAGAAATTTTGTAGGCGTTGTGATATATTTGTTCCACAAAATATGTATTTCTTTTTTTCCTGCTGTATTTAGAACTAGTGACCTGCAGAAAATGTTTTCACCCAAAAGTATTCTGACCTGCTAGAGTTCTCCCACCTGATGCTGCAGTCAGTGGGAGAGGAAGAACTTACAGAAAAAGGGACTCCTCTTTTGAGATTCCTTTCTAGCAAACACATAGACCTGTCTTGAGAAGAAATTATAAGTGAAGGATTGCAAAAAAATTCACCACAAGAGTACCCAAGTCTCTCTTAATATAATGGGCCCCTGGTCATAAGATGTTAGTTGTGACTGGGCGTGGTGGCTCACACCTGTAATCCCAGTACTTTGGGAGGCCGAAGGGGGCAGATCACAAGGTCAGGAGATCAAGACCATCCTGACTAACATGGTGAAACCTCGCCTCTACTAAAAAATACAAAAAATTAGCCGGGTGTGGTGGTGGGCGCCTATAGTCCCAGTTACTCGGGAGGTTAAGGCGGGAGAATGGTGTGAACCTGGGAGGCAGAGCTTGAAGTGAGCCGAGATTGTGCCACTGCACTCCAGCCTGGGCAACAGAGTGAGACTCTGTCTCAAAAAAAGAAAGAAAAAAAAAAAAGGTGTTAGTTGTGTCTGCATCTGTGGAGTTGACAGAAAGCAAGCCTTTCATTCCCCGCTGCCTTGGTAGCTAGTCTGTGTGAAAGGTTTTGCAATGGCCTGTGCCTATGTTTCTAGAAGCCACTGACCTGAGGTGGCCTAAGGGGAATCTGGACTATCCCAGACTGAATAATGCCCACATCAGAATACTCCTGATCCCACTGGTTCAGGGATAAAGGAGCAGATTGAACTCCTCCTTCCATTCATGCTTATTGATCAAGACAGCTTAAGTGGAGTTTAAGTGGACAAGATCCAGGGAAATGCCTGACAAAATATGGTGATGAGTCCCTGTCTGCCACAGGCATACAGGGATTAGGTCACTACATACATGCACGAACTCTTTTTTTTTTTTTTTTTTTTTTTTTTCAGATAGGGCCTCCCTCTGTCACTCAGTCTGGAGTGCAGTGGCATGATCACAGCTCACTGCAACCTCCACCTCCCCAAGCTCAGGTGATGCTCTCACCTCAGCCCAAGTCGCTGGGACTACTGGTGTGAATCACCAGGCCTGGCTAATTTTTGTATTTTTTTGAGAGACAGCGTTTCGCTGTGTTTGTTGCCCATGCTGGTCATGAACTTCTGGGCTTAAGCAATTCACCTCCCTTGAACTCTCAAAGTGTTGGGATTATAGGCATTAGCCACCACGCTGGGGCCTAATTTGATGATAATATGTATACTACTAATAACAGCACTTCCTGTATGCTCACCAGGTAAAAGGACGACTTTAGGCTCTCAGCATTTCTATGTTAGAGAGTGAGGACACCTCTAGGGTGATAGTCTACTCCGTAGTCTTCCCAGGGCCCAAGTCAAGAAAATACATGTTGATGAACAACCACCTATAAGAAAGAGCAATAATTCTCTTCTGGAATTTGGCAGGGCAGCCTTATAAGGTTGTGTAAGTTGTGCACTTGAAATTCTACAATCTCAGTGAAAGACAAAATCTAGTATACTTTTTTCCATCTATCAATGCATGGCCATGATTAGATCACTCAGAGGAAGACTGATCTCTTTCTACTGCTCACAAATGTGCTGGGTGGGCCAGCAGCTGAGATGCTGAGATTGGGTACATATTTAGAAAGCTTGGAACGGCTTATCTTCAAATAGTCCAGAAGCTCTAGAGTAATGGAAGCATGTGTGGATTATTTTCCCTGGGTAGTGTCTGTTCTCATCATAGCACAGGCCACAGTGGGCATGAGTGGAGGATTTGGGTCAAAAACTCCTGCTGATTCCATCTTCTATATGGGTGGTGACTATTTTCAGTGAGGATTCTTAAGCAGAGTATTGATTTTACTTACTCCTGACCCCACCTCACCCAGCTTATGTCCCACACACACACTTTCACACACAAGTTTCATTGGGTAATCTTCCTGGGCCACAGTAGGAAGGAAGATTTCTGAAACTCCTCATCTCAGCAGTCAACTACACAGTGCTATCCTAAAGCAAAAAGAGACAGTGCCAGGACTCTCATATTCCACAGACTCAAGGATGGAGAAGATGGCTTGGGATTGTGGGCAGGAATGCTCTCAAGGAAGGTCTAAGCATAGTAGGGAGTTTTTTAGGGGGAGACTCTGAGGGAAAAGCAAGGGCTGTATTGAGCTGCCAGCTGTGCTCGAAGGCGCAGTCATAAGCCTGAGTATCCTCTGCCCAACTTTGTGGTGCTATTCATTATCTTGTGAATCCTTTCCTTTCTTCCTTTCTTTCCTTTCTTTCTTTTCTTTATTATTAATTTTTTTTCTGAGACAGAGTCTGGCTCTATTGCCCAGCCTGGAGTGCAGTGGCATGATCTCAGCTCACTGTAATCTCCACTTTCCAGATTCAAGCAATTCTTGTGCCTCAGTCTCCAGAGTAGCTGGGACTACAGACATGTGCCATGACGCTGGCTAATTTTTAGTACTTTTAGAAGAGATGTACAGATGAGTTTTCACCATGTTGCCCAGGCTAGTTTTGAACTCCTAAGCTCAGGCAATCCACCTACCTCAGCCTCCCAAAATGCTAGGATTACAGGTGTGAGCCACCACACCCGGCCATGAACTTTTTCTTTCCCTTTATTTTCAAAAAAAATGTTTCATAGTCTGTTTTTTTGTGATTAGATTGTGGTTATATTATATTACGGTTATATTGAGTCAGGATTCATATAAAAATAGTTTTTGCTATACGTTGCTATATAGAGAGTAAAAGAAAATTTCATAATGTTCCTCTCTGGGATCATTCGTTGGGCCTAATGGATAGAAAATATGTCAAGTATAGACTATAAGGTAAGTGATTAGTTGAGAACACAGAAGCAAATATACTTACACAGGATGTGAGGACCACTTTTTCAACTATTAAGGACAAATGTCTTTTTCTTCCTTCATGTTCTTATAGGGAGACTAGGACTTCAGTTCCACTTCAGAGAAGCGTGAACTATTTGGGGAAAAATCCCTTCTGGTCCCACTGACCTCATATCATTCTCTCTTCCTCATGGGTGGCTGACGGATTACTCTAATTGTTGAGATTTCGATAGCCTGTACTCCACTAGGCTTCAGGGTTACCTGCCATCAGGAACACTGACTTACAAAAGTGGGACGTGCCACTTCTTCAAAGAGACACATCTTCCCTATGTAATGTTCATTCATGCCTCTCCTTTTGTCCCCATCAGTAAGGCTGCCATTGTGAGGTGGTTCCACCCATTTGGAACCCCTCCATTTAGGATTGGTTGAGTAAGTTGACACAGGCAAAGGAGATAGGAAACACTACCATGTTCTCCAGTCTGGCTTGAGCATTCATGAAGTCCAGCATTTGAAACCATATTCAGCTCTCATATTTTACTCAGAACCCTTCATGGGAGGAGAGAAAACCAAAATGTGTTTACGTGTTGAGAACATGAAAAAGATGAGTAAGGAACCCACCTTTCTGTGAACCCTCTCTCCACATTTCTTCTGACAGCATTAGTCATGCACTGCAAAGTCAGGAGGAAGCAGAAAGAAGATGGGTTTTGCAATCTTGAGGGTGGTGCTGAGATTATTTTGATGTTAGCAGAATTAACTTCTTTTGAGTTGACTTTTAGACTTCACGTAACCTATCTGTTGGCACTATGAGATGATTAGCGTTTCCCCATGGTTTTATGTCAACCTGTTCTCTTTCCTAATGACATGACCGTAGAACCCAGAGAGGCACCCGATAATGGAGGCAGGGATACTAGGACGGAGAATATTTGACTATTTGAAGTGCTGGCTTAATTTTCAGTGGACTGAACACTTTCCCAAAATGTAATTAATTCCTGCATATTTTTACAGTGAAGAATCTGAGGGAAAGCTTATCGAAGACAGCCTGATTCAGCTGAGATGTCACTTTACATGGAAGTTGTTAATTGAAGCCCCTGAAATTCCTGATTTAGAAAACAGGATCTGGGAAGAGATTCAGTTCCTGGATACCAAATACAATGGGGGAATACATAACCTACTAGCCTACGTGGAACACCTGAAAGGCCAGAATGAGGAAGCCCTGGTGACCTTGAAAAAGGCTGAAGACTTAATCCAGAAAGAACATGCCAACCAAGCAGATATGAGAAGTCTGGTGACCTGGGGCAACTTTGCCTGGGTGTATTACCACATGGGCAGACTGGCAGAAGCCCAGACTTACCTGGACAAGGTGGAGAACACTTGCAAGAAGTTTGCAAATCCTTCCTGCTATAGAATGGAGTGTCCAGAGATGGACTGTGAGGAAGGATGGGCCTTGGCGAAGTGTGGAGGGAAGAATTATGAACGGGCCAAGGCCTGCTTTGAAAAGGCTCTGGAAGGGGACCCTGAAAACCCTGAATTCAATACCGGGTATGCGATCACTGTCTATCGCCTGGATAACTTTAACATAGCAGCAGAGAGGAATGAGACATTTTCTCTGCACGTCCTAAAACGAGCTGTCAGGCTAAATCCAGATGATGTATATATTAGGGTTCTCCTTGCCCTGAAGCTTCAGGATGGAGGACAGGAAGCTGAAGGAGAAAAGTACATTGAAGAAGCTCTGACCAGTATGTCTTCACAGACCTATGTCTTTCGATATGCAGCCAAGTTTTATCGAAGAAAAGGGTCTGTGGATAAAGCTCTTGAGCTCTTAAAAATGGCCTTGGAGACAACACCCACTTCTGCCTTCCTGCATCACCAAATGGGGCTTTGCTACAAGACACAAATGATCCAAATCAAGGAAGCTACAAACTGGCAGCCTAGAGGGCAAGATAGGGAAACTGTGAACAGATTGGTTCAACTGGCTATATGCAAATTTGAAAAGACTATAATGTTAAAGCCCACATTTGAGATGGCCTATGTTGAGCTGGCTGAAATGTATGCAGAAATAGGCCACCACAGAAAGGCTGAGGAACATTTTCAGAAAGTGTTACGCATGAAGATCTTTGAAGATCAGCTAAAGCAAGAGATTCATTACCGCTACGGCTCTTTCCAAGAACACCATGGGAAATCTGAAGATAAAGCAATCACCCACTATTTAAAAGGTTTGAAAATAGAAAAAATGTCCCGTTCCAGGGAAAAACTTCTCAATGCTTTAGAGAAATTGGCTAAAAGATGTGTTCACCGGAAGGTACGGGTTGTGGAAAGTGTCAGCCTCCTTGGGCTCATCCACAAATTGAAAGGAGAAGTCAGTGATGCCTTGCTGTGCTATGAGAGGGCTCTGAGGCTGGCTGCTGACCTGAACCCTGTGTTTTAACATAGAGGTCACCATTATCTGCTTAATGGTCTTATAACTAAATAGAACAACTATGGAATTAAATAATGCAAGCTTAAAGCTGTTGGAACTTTACCTTATTTTGAGCCTTGAGAGGAATGTGGCTGTGTGGCCTGAGTTATGTAGCAGGCAACTGCAACTTCCGCTTTTTCCTGTAAATGATCAAGAAAGGCCTTGTGGCACCAGACACAAGACCCCCTGAAAGTATCATCCCTCCTGATGGAATGGTAAAGCAATCTTTCTTGGAATGTAGCCAGTAATAACTGATCAAATAGCTGCAATGTATGTACCGACCTTATATGGAAAATGCTGCAACCCTGTTTACTGCCTGTGTAAGTGAAACCTTAACTTCCCCACTTTGGAATGCTAACTCCAATCATTAGGTGTCTGTGTTTCCTGAGTGGTTACCCTCAAGCTTTGTGCTCAAATAAACTCTATACTTAATCATAGTTTCTTAATCCCATTATTTGAGATTTAGATAGCAGTCTTTCCCAATTGCTGTCTTCAAAAATATATAACTTGATGAAATACAAAATACTTTGGTACAACACATACTCTATTTCCTGGCCACCCCCCTCATTCTTTTCTCTTCAATCCATGTATCTGTGGCAGGAGCATCTATTCTTCCACAACACATCCCTGCATTCATTGTGGGCAGGCTTATTAATGCTGCCAAGGCTTATTAATGCTGTTTTAGGCAACTACATCTGCTGGGACAATAAGAATCATTTTCCTTAAAATTTTACCTTTGGAATGAGCAGTTTTCATCCTCAGTCTCCCAATCAAAGGAGACCTAAACATGGAAGGTTTCTATTCCATGTGGCCAGGGTCACTGACCTGCAACAAAACCTAAGAGCAAAACAAATGAGCAAAGACAAGAGTTAGAAAGGAGGGAATTTCAGAAGTTCTACAGCATTCTAGCTGGACTTCTATTTCCCAAGGCCCTACTGTAGCCAAGACCTGCTGGTCAGTGAGCCAAGCCTAAAATCTTAAAATAAACTCAAATGTTTGTTTACATGTGTCCAGTTGCTGGTAATCACAAGGGATCTACGTGATCCAAACACATTACTGGACATTTATTCACACCTGAAATCACACCTAAAATCACACATCTAAGATAACACCTGAGAGCTTTGCTAAGATCACAAATTCTTGGAGTGTATTTTATTATTATTATTATTGGTCATATTCAAAAGCATGTGTATTTTAGGTTTGGTGTCAAATAGAAAAATGCAGAACCAACTACACAGCATTAGAAGTCCTGTAGCAGAGGAAGTGATGGGAATAGAAACCTGACCGAGAATTTTTATAATTTTTATTCATTTATTAGAGTCAGGGTCTTGTGATGTTGCTCAGGCTAGAGTGCAGTGGCTATTTACAAGCACAGTCATAGCACGCTGTGGCCTTAAACTCCTGACCTCAAGATATCTTCCCTCCCCAGCCACCTGAGTAGCCAAAACCATAAGTGCATGCCACCATGTACCACTTCCTACCAAGAATTTTTAAAAATACTAGGGAGGCATTTACTACTATAGGCCATGGGACTGGAAGATTGACTTAACGTTACTTGGATCCTTGAGAGCTGGGATTGACCAATGATGGAGACTTGGGAGAGTGGGGAGACATGGCAGGGGAGTGGAGTCATTTAGATGACACCTGGAAAGCATAGGAGTAACACCTTTTTCAACTTTGTTGATACTAAACAAAGAACATACTTATTAAATTTAACCATAGGAAACTACTATTGACTTTTTCCTGTAAACAAGGTGTGATTCGGGCTCACCTGGCCTCTGAATTCCTTACCTGTAACTGCCACAGAGCTTCTTGTAGGGAGGATTTGCCTCCACTCATGGAATTAATCTAAATGAGAAATCTGAGGACATAGCTCTACTAATTAGAAAACACAGAGACAATGTTCTTCTAACTGGACAACTTTAAGCTTTCGTTTGGCTCAGTTCTGTAATTGTTAGTAAACTGACAGCTATTTGCTCCTTAGTTACTGGTTACTCTTGGCAAAAAGAAGTAACAAGAGAGTTATAGTCCTCTTGGCTGAATTCATCACAAATGAAGTAAAATTACTCAGCTAGTTATAAGTTGTGAGGAAATTAGGTTGTATTGAATCAAAGTCACTCATTAATTAATATTGAAACCTTCCCACCACTCCAGGTACTGGCGCCAAAACCTTTTCCCTTAGCAACTGAGTCTACATAATAGAGTTTATGAGTCTGTGGGTATATGAGTGTGTGTGTGTATGTGTGTGTGTGTGTGTGTGAGAGTGTGTGTGTGTGGGGGGGGGGGTGGTGTATGTGTTTGGATGAGCACCAGGTAAGTCTTAAAACTATTTTAGGCTGGCACAGTGGCTCACGCCTGTAATCCCAGCTCTTTGGGAGGCCAAGGCGGGCAGATCATGAGGTCAGGAAATCAAGACCATCCTGGCTAACACGGTGAAACCCCATCTCTACTAAAAATACAAAAAATTAGCCTGGCGTGGTGGCGGGCGCCTGTAGTCCCAGCTACTCAGGAGGCTGAGGCAGGAGAATGGCGTAAACCCAGAGGCGGAGCTTGCAGTGAGCCGACACTGTGCCACTGTACTCCAGTCTGGGCAACAGAGTGACACTCTGTCTCAAAAGATAAATAAATAAATAAAACAAATAAATAAAAATAAAAATAAACTATTTTAACAACATCAATTCACCATACCCTGGGAACTTAAGAGGGACTCAATAAACAATTATGGATTGGTTGGCTGAATATCATCTAAAGTGATGCTTTTATCAGTGGCTTCTACATGCAATATGGGCCAGCAAAGAAGAGAGAAAAAATTGGAGGGTATATAAAACTTATATCTACCTGCTTATATTAAAATGAAAACAGTGGATAAATGAAATTTTGTAATGGTTACCAATAAGAAAAAGAAGAAAAAGGAAAGGGACAGCAATAGGAGCCAGACTTCTCTGTGTTTGTTTTTGCAACCATGTCAGTATTTTGCCTAATTATAAAACCAAATTTATATTTAGAAAAGTGATTCACATATGTATGCTAAAAGTTTTATCAATTAATTGTACTGAAGGCCCTTTTATGCAAAAGAAAATATAAAATAAATGGATAGGTGGATAGAGAAATGAGTGGATGAATAGATATGTAATAAAGTAAATATAGTAAAATGTTAACTGTATAATCTAGTTATACAAGTGTTCATTGTAAAATACTCTCAACTTTTCTCTCTGCTTGACCATGTATAATAATAATATGTTTGGATAAAAAGGGCAAATAGCAGTATCTAAAAAGTACAGCAAACTGAGACAAATGATCCAAAATATGCAGGGAATGGTGGTTAAAATCACATAGGGAGGAAGGGTTCCAAGTGATTTTAAAATGTGTTATAATTTGACTCTACATGTTTAATAGGATATAGCTTATTAAAGAAAACATGCAAAAAAAATTCCTTTTTTTTTTTTTTTTTTTTTGAGACAGCGTCTCGCTCTGTCACCCAGGCTAGAGTGCAGTGGCGTGATCTCAGCTCACTGCAATCTCTGCCTCCTGGGTTCAAGTGATTCTCTTGCCTCCGCCTCCTGAGTAGCTGGGATTACAGGTGGGTGCCACCACCCCAGCTAATTTTTCTATTTTTGGTAGAGACGGGTTTCACCATGTTGGCCAGCCTGGTCTAGAACCCCTGACCTCAGATGATCCACCTGTCTTGGCCTCCCACAGTGCTGGGATTACAGGTGTGAGTCACTGCACTTGGCCAAAAAAAAAATACATAAACGCTACTTAGCACCATTCTGGAGGTGTTTTGTTAATTTTGTTATTCAGAGATGGGGGTTGGTGTATTGTGTAATAGATTACATGAAAAATTAAGTTGCTATCGCTTAGAAAAGGAATGTTTAGTTTGGGAGGAAAAATACGTATGTAAGATTTTTTATGTTAAGTAAAAAAATCCAATGTACCTGAGTTTGTAAGATTCATGATATATTTTATTTTCAAAACATATACACAGCATCCATGTCATTTTCCTGGTTTTAATATTGTACTACAGTTATATTAAGATGTCACTATTTGGGGAAGTTGGATGAAAAGTACACAGGATCTTTTCTGAAACTTCTTGTGTCTATAGTTGTTTCAAAATATGCCTGAAATGTAAAAAAAAAAAAAAAAAAAGAGCTGATAAAAATTCTAGTAGTACTTGAATAGGTTGCAGTAAACCCAACTGTGGGTCACAGTGGGCTGAGTGCTATTGTGGGCTGAGAGGTCTCTTGAAGTTTCATGAGAAGATATGTAAGTCATCAAATCATTTACAACGAAGAATTTCTGGAGTCCGAGTCCTCTCTCCATGGATGCGATTGGAAGCAGTTTAGGAAAAATCTCAGAAGCCAACAAAATAGTTTTCATACAGTGGTCAGAACACTGAGAATTACATTTCTCAGAAAATAGGCTATAGTTAAAAATATCTTTCTGATTGAATACATTCAAAAGAGCATATAATATGTAATTAGCAGAGATATTCCAATTGTTAAATGTTAAATTATAAATTAAAAAAAGAAATATCTAGAAACCTGACTTTTATGATTATCTGAAAAAATCTAAGGAAAATCAAAGATGCAGGAAAATGGAAATGGATTGATGACTTCAGTTAAGGCTTTGGTTTTTATGATCCTAGCATGAAAGCATCTTGTATGTCTTTCACGTCACTACAGTGCCTTCATTTAACTATGATTACCAAAACACAAGTACAGTAGCAACTTCTGCAGTACAAACTGACAGAAAGGACGACTGAGGAGACAGAGAAGCCCAAGGAAGTAGTACCACCTAGGGGCTGAATTTGTTTCTAACAAGAAATCAGCTTTTCATTAGGTAACCAGGTCACTAGATACTATTCTACCTGGTCATTAGCAAGATGACAAGAGATTTTAGACTATAAGAGATGACCTTGGAAAAGACAGGGGCAACTTCTATGGAGCCCGTTCCTTAATAAGCTGTGATTGGATATTTCAGACCCTACAACAGAAATGGCTTAGCATCTGTCCGTATTATAATTTTAAGAAAATACACTCAGAAGGACATTCTTTTTCCATATCATCCTGTGAATGAAGAAGAGACTGAGGAGCTCATTACCCGTTGTGTAGGTGAGGAAACAAGGTATGGAGTAGTAAAATACTGAATCTGGGCCTCACAGAACAGGAAGTGGGTTCAGAGATTGAGTCCCATCTCTCTCAGTCAGAGAATTTCAGGCATACAATAGACATTAGGGATAATAGAGGCCCTGATTCCCGGTGCAGGTCTGCATCAAAATCACCTGAATATTTCTTTCTTTTCTTTTTTTGAGATGGAGTTTCGCTCTTGTTGTCCAAGCTGGGAGTGCAGTGAAATGGTACGATCTTGGCTCACCACAACCTCCACCTCCCAGGTTCAAGCGATTCTCCTGCCTCAGCCCCCCAAGTAGCTGGGATTACAGGCTTGTGCCACCATGCCCAGCTAATTATGTATTTTTAGTAGAGACAGGTTTCTCCATGTTAGTCAGGCTGGTCTCGAACTCCCGACCTCAGGTGATCCGCCCGTCTTGGCCCCCCAAAGTGCTGGGATTACAGGTGTGAGCCACTGTGCCCAGGCTGAAGATTTCTTTTTAATACTGAGCTGGGGGCCTGTACCTAAGGATATGTTCAGATTGGTCTGGGATGGGGCGTAGTTAGCATTATTTTTGAAATTTACCTGACTGATTCTAATGTGCAGTGAGGGTTGAGATCTGTCAACCTATTCCAAATGACTTACCAGCTGAGGAAATTGAGATTCATAGAGGTGAAGCAGTTTATCATAACTGGTCAGTCCCTTGCAGAGCCCAGCTTAGACTCCTGGGAATGAACACACAACCGAGTGCTGAAATTTCATTTTCTAAAAGTTTTATTTTCTCTGGTTTCCATTTTCTTTTTTATCTGTAAAGACACACACACATACACACACGCACATGATTAGCTTTTCTTTCTTTAATGTTGTTCTATCCTGTTTCCCTCTTGGGTTTGTTTGTCCCAAAGAGACGCTAAGCAAGATTCTGAATACCTAATCAGCCCAGGCCAGAGTCCCATAGAACCAAGACTGCTGCCAAATTCAGAGCAATGGCAAGATAAACTTTTTGCTCATATCTCTGCATGCTATCTAGTGCATTGGCAAATTGAAAACCCATTTTTTTTCCCATAAGAATTCCAAAGACATCTTGCTCCCCAAAAGGAGATGTTTTCTAATTCATCTATTTCAACATTTGCTTATGGCCTGATCATGTATCTGAGCACATGACAAAACCTGTCCTATTAGTTCAGAAATTCTTATTTGTGTAGAACTTTCTAACTAGTTGTTGAACTCTCTGTGGAAGCTTACAGAACTGGTGAGAGCTGACGTGGGAGATGAGTCTGGCAGGGAGTTGAGCAGAAATTGTTTAGATCTGGCAGTGTGCCCAGTTAAGTGTTTCCAAAAGGAAAACACTCTTGTACCTGCTCCTCTTCTGCTTCTTATTTTAAAAGACAAAGTAGGTAGCTTTATTTTAAGGAAGCGTTGTTTTTATTTATTGTTGTTGTTATGATTATTTGAGACAGAGGCTCACTCTGTTGCACAGGCTGGAGTGCAGTGGTGTGACCATGGCTCACTGCAGCCTCTACCTCCTGGGCTCAAGTGAGCCTCCCACCTCAGCTTCCTGAGTAGCTGGGACCACAGACGCACACCACCACACCCAGCTTTTTTGTTTGTTTGTTTGCTTTTTGTAGAGTTGGGGGTCTCACTATGTTGTCCAGGCTGGTCTACAATTCCTGGGCTCAAGTGATCCTCCCACCTTGTCTTCTGAAATGCTGGGACTTACAGGCCTGACCAATGCACCTGGACAAGAATCTTTTTTTTTTTTTTTGAGACGGAGTCTTGCTCTGTCACCAGACTGGGGTGCAGTGGTGTGATCTCAGCTCATTGCAACCTCCACCTCCTGGGTTCAAGCAATTTCCCTTCCTCAGCCTCCCGAGTAGGTGGGACTATAGGCGTGCACTACCATGCCGGGCTAATTGTTTGTATTTTAGTAGAGACAGGGTTTCACCATGTTGGCCAGGATGGTCTCCATCTCCTGACCTCGTCATCTGTTCACCTCGGCCTCCCAAAGTGCTGGGATTACAGGCATGAGCCACCGTGCCCAGCCAAGAATCATTTTTAACTTGATGACTGAAAATAAGAAGAATAATAATCACCACTTACTTGCATGCTTCTATGTGCCAAGTAGTTGCTAACTATTTAAACTCGAATTCCATGAACTGTAGTTGAGGCTGTACTGGAATTTGATTCAGAAGACAGTGTCCATGCTGCAGGAATAGAGGGCTCCCTATTCCAAACCATAGCTCCTTGCTTTTACCTCCTGCCTAAGTCATCAGGGGTTAGAAGGCTTTCTAGGTATTGT